ATGAATTTATGTTGAAAATGAATTGCATTGCATATTTTATTGCACTTTTTACATTTATTATTCAAAACCATCATATAATTTTTTGTTTCTGGATCCTGAGTTATTCCATAAAATTCATATTCAATTTTAATCTACAAATGTAATAATATGTCAGAAAAATAAAATTTTAAAATTTTGTTGAGTAATAATACTAACCTTATTTGCAAGTTCAAATGTAAGATCATTTGGAGAATTTAAACTTTTCAAATTCACAAACATATTCAGTTTGTCTCTTATCCAATTTTGATTTTCATAATTCCAGTAACTTATATTTCCATCAATCCAATTTGCACTATATACTTTATTAAACTCATCATTTGCAATATATTTAATATCATACAATCTATTATAAGATATCCATTCTAATACCCAATCTACATCACAAGCTGATAGTTGAATATCTTGAATAAATCTATCAATATCATCATTACCACTAGTCCAATCTATGAATTTATGTTGAAAATGAATTGCATTACATATTTCATTGCACTTTTTACATTTATTATTCAAAACCATCATATAATTTTTTGTTTCTGGATCCTGAGTTATTCCATAAAATTCATATTCAATTTTAATCTACAAATGTAATAATATGTTAGAAAAATAAAATTTTAAAATTTTGTTAAGTAATAAGCTTATTAATATACTACTACCTTATTTGCAAGTTCAAATGTAAGATCATTTGGAGTATTTAAACATTTCAAATTCACAAACATATTAAGATTGTTTCTTTTCCAATTTTGTTTTACATTATCCCAACAATTATTATATTCATTACTTATGTTTCCATCAATCCAATTTGCTCTATACACTTCACCAAATTTCTCTTTTGAAATATATTTAATATTATACAATCTATTATAAGGTATCCATTCTAATGCTTCTCTTGCATAATCATGAGCTAATAACTGAACATCCTGAATAAATTTATCAATATTATTATTGCCACTAGTCCAATCTATGAATCTATGTTGAAAATGAATTGCATTACATATTCCATTGCACTTTTTACATTTATTATTCAAAACCATCATATAATTTTTTGTTTCTGGATCCTGAGTTATTCCATAGAATTCATATTTAATCTACAAATGTAATATGTTAGAAAAATAAATTTTAAATCTTGTTAAGTAATAAGCTTATTAGTATACTACCTTATTTGCAAGTTCAAATGTAAGATCATTTGGAGAATTTAAACTTTTCAAATTCACAAACATATTAGGATAGTTTCTTTTCCAATTATGTTTTAATACATCACCCCAATAATTATAACTATAATATTTATCAATTATGTTCCCATCAAACCAATTTGCTCTATACACTTTACCTAACTCATCTTTCGTAATATATTTAATGTCATACAATTTATCATAAGGTATCCATTCTAATGCATTATTTACTTCATAGAATGTATGTGCTGATAACTGAGTATCTTGAATAAATTTATCAATTCCTTCATTACCACTAGTCCAATCTTTGAAGTTTTGTTGAAAACGAATTGCGTTACATCTATAATTACATTCTTTACATATCTCGTAACCATCCGGCTGAACTAGCCCAAAAGAATCCATGAACAAGAATTTTACAACCTATAAATAAATTTAGTTTTACGATGACAATTTAATATAAAAAGGCTAAAAAAATTTGTGCAGGTTAAAAAGTGAAAAAAGTATTGCTTCGTTCCAAGATCATATAAATAGAAAGCCAAACATTGTAGAAATCACGTGTAATGTATATCATGTGACTTGAATTAAAGAAGTCACGTACATCATTGTAATGCCGACTGGATTCGTTGGATACAGATTGAATTATGCATACGGCCTTGAAGGAAAGATGTATAGAACTGGTCCTCCACAAATTTCGAGCTCTTCCACAATAAAAAATATCGAAATGATTCTTTAGTTTACGTGTTTCAGCGCAGTAACAGTAAATACTATTACACAGAATTCTTGGCAAACAACGATTCGTTACTCCAATGCATAACTAATAAATAATTAATGAAAGAATAAAAGCGTTGACTCTTTCATACCTTCCACATATAGGCTTTGATTTGTACGTCAAAAAACTAACTGCGGAAATGCTTATTGAAGTAACACGAAATTCCGAAACATTTATATGAGTGGCGAAGTACGTTGTGCAAAATAGAATAGGAATACACAAGTGTAAAGTGTAACCAATCCTTTATCATCAAAATATCAAAACAATCATATGAAAATTAAAAATATTTTTTAAATATTGATCTACGACAAAAAAAGTTTTTTTATTTTAAATGACACTTTTTTATTTTTAAATGACACCTATTGTATAAACTTATTATTTTAATACCTAGGATCTTTTGTTTCAGGATAGATGGATACTATATAGTAATATATTATTATTATTTTTTTTTTTATTAAGATAAAGAGTCATTGTTGTTTTTCCATTTTATCCTTTTTAAATTTTTCGGCAAAAAAAAATTTGTTTAATCGACATAGCCACGTTATTATTGTTCACTTGCATGTTTTTCATTTTCATTTTACTTGAAAAAAAAAAAAAAAAAAAAAAAAAATTTATGATGATAAGATGATAATAATATTGTTCAATAGTTCATAAAATGATCATATGAAAATCAAAGATCAATAACATCAAAATTACCATTCC